TTAAATGCTCTTGAAAGCTTTGCCACCGTAAAAATGTACAGTCACCACTCGCTAAGAGCGAGGAGCCTGTGCAGCCGGGGGGGGGTGGGGGGGGGTTGTGCAGTACTCACAGTCCCCCACCAGAGGGAGTCTGCATAGGTGCCAAAATCTGAGTTGATGTCTTTCTCAGCCAGGTAGACGAGGAAGGAGGCGAAGATGAGCACCAGGAAACCGATGTACCAGGCTGTAATCAGCTCCTGTCAGGCAGAGAATGGACATCGATCACATTAGTCAACAGCTTTTTTAGCATCCTGATCCCTGCTGTCGTTACCATATCACTACTGTCATTATTGGCTAAGCTTTGCCTCATAACTGCATTTGGCTTGCACTTTGACTTGGTTACGTTGGGAGAGCTTTTACATCAATTCACCATCATCACTGTAGCTCACTACATAATGCTGACAGCAGGATGTGCATCACTCCTGTCAGCAAAAGAAGCCCCTCACAAAGCGAGCAGCTCAGACGCATGTGTCAAGGCGGGAAGCGTTAATTAATTAGCCTTAGCATGTTTCCTTTCACATCGCCTGTTAATAACCCGTTCGTCCAAACAGTAACCGTCACGTACAACGCTCATCGTGCCACCCAAGTAGAGGCAAGCTGGGACCAAACTTCATATTCCTCAAATATAAATTTGAGCAGTCAGGTTTGTTTGGCAGAACAAGTGTAGCCGTTTGTCATTTCCACCTTGCTGTGAGCATAAACCACGGAGCCAAGTAGTTTCCAGGTGCCTCCCCGTCGGTCCATGCGAACCATGCGCAGGATCTGCAGGAAGCGCATGCTGCGCAGGGCTGACGTGGCGAAGATGTTGCCCTGCGTCCCCGCGGCGATCACCGCCAGCGATGCGATAAACACGATGAAATCTACAGCAAAGGCGTTCGAACAAAACAGCAACAGAAAGAGATAGGAAAAGGTCGTTACGGGACAGATGTTTACAAATCTTGTCCACAGGAGAACACAGAACTGCTGGGTTTGATTTGACTGTTCACACACAGACTCTGACCTATGACACAGAAGGGCTTCCTGGCAAATCTCAGGCGTCCCTGCCATCCCCGGTATCTGCAGCAGCAGCCAGCTGCCCAGATCCTGATGAAGTACTCCAAGCCAAACACCACGATCATTACAAACTCCTGCAAATCACACACAAACACATCCGTCGCATTTTGATCCATTCATCACAAACTTGCTCCAGGTATTTGCATGCACAGAGCGTTACAAGTTGACCGATTCACACAGCTTTTTCTATATTTGCATCCTCAATGCTTTTTGTTCTGACGTCGCAGACCAGTCAGAGTATTTATGGCAACTGTAGGTCCAGCATTTTACTCAAGAACAGTTGAGCATGAAGCAGAGCTGAGGACGGGATTGCCAACCTTTCAACTGGAGAGCTTCGTTTATATCACAGCATTTAAAAAAAAAACTATAAAATAATAAATATAAATCCCAGAAAACAATCATCACAATAGAAGAGTGGGGAAGACGAGGCCATAGAAAACCACATGGTTATTCCACCAAATATTGATTTCTGAACTCTTCCTGAGTTAAAACATTAGTGTTGCTGTTTCTAAATGAATATGAGCTTGTTTTATTTACATTATTTGAACTTATGTTAAACCCACTGCATCATTGTCTGCAAATAAACACAAAAGTTTTGCTTGAATTTCAGAGACATGTCAGTAGTTCAGAGAAGAGCACTGTTGTGTCATTATCATTGTCACTTCAAACATCGAACTGCAAGATTTCAAGATTATTTATAAAACAGGAAAACAAACTAAGCCACAGCTTTGTTTGTTTTCATTTAATGGTGCAGATTTCTGGACTCCACAGGACCAAAATGTCAATAAACGACGGCGATAGTGTAAGTAAAGTCCGCTGACGGACAGCGTAAACTAAACGAGTGTGAAAGTCGGGAGCGTTGACACATAAATGATGAGAAAGGCAGGAGAAGGTGGATGAGTCAGGTTTGGAAGGAAAAGTGAGCATCCATTAGTTTTCACTAAAGCAGCTAAAGCACAGAAGAAGAGAGGTGATTAAGGGACGGCTTTTAGGACTAGAGCATCATGTCTGTGATTTCCTGCAAAGTCAACATCACCTGAATCCGCTCAGCTGCTTATACAACTACCTCCGTGATGAAGTAAAACTACACAAATACAAATGTACAAATATCTATAAAGGAGACTGAAAATGCCTGCTAAATGTCACTTATATGTGTCAGAGAGATGAAGAGGAGGTCTTACCAGGATGAAGAGGCCTTGGTTGGCCATCTTTTGGTACTCAGGAATGGTCGAAAACACGGACAACACCAAGCAGCTGAACACCAGCAGGAAACTGAAACACACATATTTTGCTAATTAAGTTACCAACTTTTTTTTTTAAGCAACACTTTGATTTATAATCAGGCATAAGCTACACGTTTGAACACGTATGACGGAGCTCTCAGGTCAAATGAGCTGAATAAAACTTACTGAAATGCGTAGGCTTCACTTTCTGTGTCAGTAAAACAATTTCGCACTGTCAAACCTATTAAATGTCCTGTAATTTTTATCCAAAATAATAAAAAAGAGACAGAGAGAGAGCGTGCTAACAGATATTAGCAAAACTTTATGAGATATGAACGCATACGAAAGAAATTTTGAAGGTTTTCAGCGGCAGATTACCAATTATTTCATTGGAGTGCACCGGTTGTAAAAAGATAAATTTTGTTCCCTCTAAATGATATTAGGCTTTAGGTGGAAACTTGGACATTATTTTGCATTTCCAGGAAGTTTGACAAAAGCATTTGCTGTGTCTATGGTTATGATTGAATCCTATATTGAATGAATGGACTCTCATAGTTGTCCAATAATGTATTATGTTCATGTATATAGGAAAAAGTGTCACAAAAACACACAGGACATAACACTAATGAGTTAAATAAATTATTGCTCCATAACTTTACACAAACACAAAATGTAGTTATAGAGAACGATACAGAAGCAAAACATTGTGACAACATTTATTGAAAGTGCAGCAAAGTTTCTTGGTGATTAATACATTTTCCGTCCTTATTAAAGGTCACATTTTGCCACTATCTGGTGGTCAGAGACTGAACAGATGTGGCTAATAATATTCATCATCGTGACAGAAAAGTAGACTGCATGAATTCCTGCTGATGAACTCAGAAAACCGAATTAGAGCAACAAGCCAAAAGGCTTTTGACAATATTTCAGTTCATGTACCGTTTAGTTAAGACATATTGTTGTTGCATCTCAAAATATACCTTTAAAAAGTGTGACTGGTGTGAAATAGTCGGGTTTTTTTAAGGAGGCGACAACTTCAGTTTGAGCAAAAATTACAATCCCACTCCAGCTTCAGCGCCGCACCGAAATAAAACCACATAAATAGTGAATAACTGTGCCTTGTGTTTAAGCTGCTCTCACACTGGTATAAACAACTCATTTTTTATGAGTTATTTCAGATGTAGGAAGCCTGGCAATTATTTCATTCAGCAAAACATGACTGTTGAGGAACAATATTTAGGAACAAGTTATGTTAGGTTTGTGAAAAGAAAAAAATATATTCTGTTAAGGAAAAAATGAAGATTCAAGGATTCCTCAAACACACATGAACAAATCAAACATTCTAGTATTTGACGAGAAAATAACATTATGAGATAGAATAAAGCTAAAAATGACATAAACTCCCATATAAGGCTAATCAGTTCTCATAAGGAAAGTGATTATACTTGAAAAAATCTTAAAGAGAAATATGCTGAGAGAAAAATCAATGCATCTGTCATATCTGTAAAGAGAAAGAATAAACCAAGATTTGATGATGCACACTTTTAATTTTTTTTTTTTCATTTAATTTAAACAGGAAGGTTATTGATTTTCATTTATTTTTAATAAATGGGTCATTTCTGATAAATCCAGGTTTGCTTTTTCTACTCTCACCCTTTAGGGAAGTTATTTATCAGAAATCTAATAATAACAAAACAACTCCTAATAAATTTAAAAAAATGTGAAAGAATAAATTCTTACACTTTTTTAAATGGATCGATCTCAACTATGTCTACGTAGGGAAACAAAACCATCCTGATGAATCTAACAGTGAATAACTTGGAGGCTTCAAGTGAAAATCTGTGAGTCTGTGTTTTCCACGTCTTCCTCAGAGCCGCCACTTTGTCAACACAAACGGGGAGGAGGAGGACTCAGTAAGCAGCTTCTCGGGCTCTTGTGCCGTCTGCCTGCATAACCACAGTTTGCAGCTGGTGAGACGCCACAAATAGAAAGACAAAGTGGACCTTAGACAGCCAGGAAGACACCAGACACCGACTGTGAAAACACAGACACCCCAAATTACCACTGTATGCTTTCTCGGTGTGGCACAGAGCACAAAGTTTATGCTTCATAAACGGAATAGTTAGGAAAAAAACAAAAAAAAAAGAAACAAAACAACAACTTTGATGACGCTGTACAAACAATGCATTTTGGTCATTCATCAGCTGAGTAACATGCTGACTAAACCGTCTGACTTTTTTCCCCTCAATTAACTCAAAGCGCAGCGTATGCACCAGTGGTGGAGAACGTACTCAAAAAATGTACTTAAGTACAGTAAGGAAGTACTTGTACTTCGTTAGTTTCCACCACTGGTATGCACGTCCACGACGAGGAGATTAGGTAGAGCAGCATCTCAAATGGTTTCGTCTTTTATTGGCCCCTTCTTCATGACAGGAAACAAAGTGCAGCACAGTGTTGGTTTTATAAAATACAGACGAAGGATTCCCAGTGTTAAAAACATGAAGAGATAACCTGATTTCTCTTTTTAGCAAAAGTTTCAAAATGCAGTGATGGATTTCCTAAAAGGAATCTGTGTACCCAACGTTTTTCATATTTGAAGTTTCCAGGAAATATATACATGTGAAAGATTTTAATTTTTACAGCCTACAAGGCTCTTCCACAGTCAATAAGATGCATGAAGACGGGAGACATTTATAGAAAAGGCAGAGTCACCTTCAGCGACACACCAGCAGAGCCTCTGAGCACCTAGAAAGATGGCTTCTTTTTTCCCAGGATGCTTTGCATGTGGTGCCTAGAGTGTGGCTAATCGCTTTTTTTAATCATTGATTAAGGCACGAAGATTTAAAGAATCTGATGTGGAGATATCTCCGCCATTTTTGGACAAGTACGTCCTGCTATCGTAGCAATGAAAATAAAACATACTAATAATTACGACATCAAAATGCAGGCCAATAAAAAGGAATAGAGGACTTTGCAAACAATAATACAAACTAATCATCTTAATATATCCAGTTTACGGTGTGTGGGGTAACAAAACACTTAAATCTTATTTCAAACGGGACAGCCTCAGTGCATTCAGATCTTCATTCAGGGAAAGACGATGAGGCAAATTTGGTTTATCTCTCTAAAAATGTACACAGCTGACATCTGAATACAAGTAAATCATTTTGTAGATTTTAGTGAGAAGTGTCTCGACCTTAATTTGAAGGATACAAGTCGGTGATTTACCAGTGAAGTCGGTCTGCCCCTCCTTTTCTTCAAGCTACGTTTGCATTCAGCCTGAATACATCAGGAACTGGGTGATTTGATGTCAATATAATTACTTTAAGTGAATTGTGAGCATCGTAACCTTAAGTTTAAGGATGCATCCACTAAATCACCCAATTCACTAAAGCTGAAAGCAGACTTGGTACATTAATTCACAAAGTCACACGGCAGAGGACTTGTGTGTCAACATGTGATCATGATGCAGAGCCGATTTTCTGTCAGCTGTTTAAGTGAAAAGTTAATGTTAAGTTTGAAAAGCGAGAACTTTGTGGTAACTTTATCATTAGTATTTGCCTTGTGAGTCAGAGGCTGAGAGGGAGCAGGAATGGGTCATCTTTTAAACCTAACCCCATCACAAGCCTGCTTCATGTAAGCAAAGATAGTGCATAGAAATAAATAAATAAACACTAAGAAAAAGAGATAGATGAGACACCAAATCCATGAGTGATGCATATGAAGAGGGAGTCATATTTCTGCTGAGAGAACATTTCCTATCCACCAGCCAGGATGGCTGTCCACCATCAATCCCTCTCTTTCAAGGAAACGTCAATTAGGACCAAAGGATCAGTTCCACCAGAACAGCAGAGAGGGAAGTCTGCACGGCTTTGACTTTATCTAGACCCAACAACATCTCACTATATATATATATATATATATATATATATATATATATATATATATATATATATATATATATATATATATATATATATATATATATAGTTAAAAAAAAATTATTCATTTTAAAAGTATGTCAGAACAAATACAGCAAGCTTTGACGAGAAGATGAACCTCGCTGCAAGGTTTTGTCCTTCACCGTTTTCAATTTTTTAAAACAGTGACCGTCGTTTTGATATCTAAAGAATCCAGTGAGTCGCACTTGAATGCAGCACAGCAGGACACCTGTTTGAGACGGTGGCACTAGGGCGGTACCAGGTGAACGCTACAGGCAGTTTAGCCTGTTTTTCTCAGAATGATGTAGAATGATGTCGTTTCAAACGAGCGACTAAATTCACGGTATTGATGTTGAAAAACTGTGCAGTTAGTCTTTGGTGCGGTCGTCCCCGTCCTCCTCCTCGTCACCATGGCTGAATAATTAACTGCAATGTTCCCAAAAATGCAGATTTTTTTTTTTACTGCTCTAGTTTTGGTTCCACCTTTTAAAGTTGCACATATGCATGCTTCAGCTTCGCACGTAAACGTCCCACATGTGTACAGATTTAAAAGAACGGTTTATTAGTTCAATAAACACGCGTGCCAAACCAAAAACACTTTGCCAAAAATGTTCAGGAGGAATACGTGAACCATTTTATCCTGAGCTCCTAAATGCTTGTTGTTACAAAATTCTACTCTCCTCCAGACTCAAATTCAAAATAAAAAATTTTTTTTGCACTTTTTTATATCACTCTGAGCATTTGAAGAGAAAGTTTTAAACTTGAACCCTCCATAAAAGACACTCTGGTATAATTATCGACTGGTCTTATAAAATATAGTTTGTGAATTTCCTCAAAATAATTGTCTGACATGTATTGAAACGGGTCATTTTGGATTTTCTAATAATGGGTGATGGGTAAAAAAAAATAAAATCAGGATTGATTTGACAAGTCAAAGACAAAAGCATGTGAAATTATGAATAACTGCATTTATTCAGTATAGTTAAACTTTTGACTTTTAGAAAGTGGAAGAAGGAAAACAACCTCCATTTTCCTTTTTCTATAAATTCTTCACTTTTAAAACTGTCTAGGAACCCACGAAGACCTCATTTACTACAACTAATATGGA